CTCTGTCGCATCGCTGAAAAAAACTGGATAAACTCCTAAATTCATATTCGACCATGGAGATCTACTGGTTTCACTAGTTGAAGGGTGGGGGCACGGGGGGGGTCCCCCCCCCCCCCCCCCCCCCCCCCCTCAGTATGCTCTCGGCACCAAAATTAAATTAATGCATGCGGGATTCCTGTGAATGTGATGGGAAAATAACCTCGCTATGCCAATGACGTTTTTTGCCGGCATTGTCTATTATCATCTCCATCATCATCATCATCCGAGCGTCATCGTCATTATCATTCATTTGTTTATTTATTTATCTTTATTTATTCATTTTCGTAGATCAAGACAATTTACAAGTGCTATCCATGTTTTCACAGCGCTCACTTTATGAAAACCACGTAAGTAAATCTACTCTACTTTCACATTACAACTTGTTTCATATTCCTGCGAACTAACCGACTCCAGACTTTTGGAGCCGTTTGGTGTTTTGGCCAACGCCAATCAAATTCACCACGGACCGAGTGCCTGCTGGGTGCCTGCCGACCGCGAACGATTAACGCTTTTTAATGGGAAAAACTTATTGTCCAGAAGATGAAAAGACAAAGACATGGCGGCCATGTTGGTGGTATAAACAAAGGAGGCTATTGAGAAACTTATAGAGGTTTTGCAGCATCACGTGACGGCAGCCATGTTAGATAGCAAGAAAAATAAAATCGTTTTACGCAAGAAATAACATAATTCTGCCATCTAACCACAGGCAGCCCAAGCTGATGCTGCAAAACCTCTATTGCCAATTACCACTAACATGGCGAAAATAAGGTGACTTGCAAACTTGCTTAACAAAGACATGGCGCCTTGTTGGTGGTAATAAGGAATACTATTCATAAATCTCTATAGAAATACCACTAACCAACAGGGCGTCGATGAGGTAACTCGCAGATAAGTAATTTGATAAACATATAACAATCTTTTTCATTTTATTGAAGAACTACAAAAAATCAGACATTTGCAATCATTCTCCTCAAGTTTGGCTGCAGAGGCAAGCATTTGAAACAGCTTATCAGCAAACTAACCAAGGACGCCATCGTCGCCGCAGGTCAGTGGTTTTGAGCATGCGCAGTAAATAAACAATTCAGAGACTACTTTTATGCCCATACATTCACTACAATAGAGGCTTTGTACTATCATGTGATGGCAGCCATGACAGGAGGCAGAAACAATTGAATCTCTAGTCTGATTTAAATGAGAAAGAATTCAGAAAAGACTATTGTTAAGCCTCCTGTCATGGCTGCCATCACGTGATGATGCAAAGCCTTTTTAACCATGTTCACAAGAATATTGCTTGGGCTGCCTGTGGTCGAGATCATGGAATCCTATTAAACGCTTTGAAAATTTAACTTACTCTACGGAGAACCTGGCATTAAGCGGACACCTTAGGGATCTTGCCTGGTGTCCGTTAATAGGAGGTCACCGTTGAATAAAGCCGGTTCGTTTAATTTTACAGTTAACGTTAGAAGAAAATTTCGGGACCGTGAAACTAGCTGGCCGTTTAATGAAGGGTGTCCGCTTAATGAGGATTCCACTTAATAGTGTTATGACTGTACCATAAAATTTAATCTAACGATGTTCATTTTACCTTTCGTCAGTTTGTCGAGACACGACATGCCCTCAAACTCCTCTCCTCGCCATGTCTATGCCAGGGTGTACCATGGCAACGGCCTGTCCCGCTGCCCCCGTCTGTTCTCCACCGATATCGTACCCGTGTACGACTCAAGTGTCTTCACCAGTTATCACATCAACAGCTAGTTGTCCTGGACTGTGCCCATCGACTTGTGCTCCTGCTTGCAATCCTGTTTGCTGTCGATCCAAAATTACACCTGTTAAAGATCAAGTCACTAAGCAAAAGGGCGCTCCACTTTATGACTATGCTCTTGAAGACGGGGAAGATTCTTAAACAACACGGATTGTTTCAGTCAAATCCATGGATTATTTCTTAGTCTGTGGAATTAAAATTTAAAACATGCTCTGGACAAACTTTAGTTATAAACTTTATAACTAGTTTTTTCCTCTCTCCGCAAAACCTAACCGCTAGCTAAATTCCAATTTGATCTGTGAGCCGTCCCCTGAGTTAGTTCAAACAAGAGGCTGTTGCAGGGTTAGCCATGCCCTGACTTAGATCAGCTCAAAGGTTGTTTCGGGGTATTGCTAACATAGAAATTTTGAAAGTATTAAACTGGTTATAAACGAGAAAAAGCCATAATAACTTGATCTCTACAGAAATTGTATTATGTTAAACCATTTAAAAAATAAATACGACATTTCGATTACAAACGTCAGTATGGCTTCACTAAACAACAAAACTGAACGCTTTTGTGGCGAATGACAATTTTAGTATCGATAAGTATTTTCAAATTAGCTAATGGAATCCTATCACGTCATTCAGTTTCAAGCTAGTATATTGATAATTCTATTAACACAAAAATAAATTCAAAAAATGACGACGAAAATTTACTAATAGATTAACCAATATTAGAACATAATATTGTATCCTTGAATATACTGTTATTATAAATTGGAAGTTTAAAAATATTTTCTTGTTTGTAGTTATCAGTAGCTTGGTATTTCGTTAATATTAGGTCTAACAGGGGGTGGAGTGGAGTTGATTCGTTCCTTTGCTCTAGGTGGTGAAGCAGAGATTGATATCGTTTATCATTCGTAAATCTTGGACCATTGATTGTTAAATATACTCCATGCAAGCACCACCCACTGAAAGCTACTGAAATAATTCCTATTGTTGCCGTGTGTAGTGATAATGCACTCGCCTCTCACCTCTTAGGTCTTGGGTTTGATTCCTGAACTCAGCATCACACGTGAGTAGAGTTTGTTGGGTCTCTCCCTTGATTCGAGGGTTTTTCTCCTGGGTCTAAATTGGGTTTGATTCCTGGACTCAGCATCACACTCGAGTAGAGTTTGTTAGGTCTCTCCCTTGATTCGAGGGTTTTTCTCCTGAGTCTAAATTGGGTTTGATTCCTGGACTCAGCATCACACTCGAGTAGAGTTTGTTAGGTCTCTCCCTTGATTCGAGGGTTTTTCTCCTGAGTCTAAATTGGGTTTGATTCCTGGACTCAGCATCACACTCGAGTAGAGTTTGTTAGGTCTCTCCCTTGATTCGAGGGTTTTTCTCCGGGTTCTTTGCTTATTTTCTCTCCGTAAAACGCAACAAAGTAACTGAAATTCCAATAGTCCTTTTCACAATTTCCTGCGCCATCTTGAAAGGTAGCCGTGACTTTGCATCGAAGCGGAACGAACGGTGAGCTCGCAATGATAGAGACCTTTTTTAACATCTTCGACAATTATTCACATGTCTCTATCATTGCAAGCTCACTCTTCGTCTCGCTTCGATGCAAAGTCACGGCTACCTTTTAAGATGGCGCAGGGAACTGTGAAGGGTACCATTCGATCAGTGAGTTAGCCGGGCACTCGCGTTGAAATTTGACTCAGCCCGTAGGTTATTTCGACTGTACTCAGCTTGTTATAGATAAAATTGAAGGTAGTTTTGAAAGAATTATGTAAGCAGAAAAAAACATTTTTTTTTTTTTTTTTGTGCTCGAAAACATTAATTTTTTCCTGGCTTTGTGTTCCGTGTGTTACTTTTTACTTCTGGACCAACGCACCTTAACGATTGCACCGTTGTATATTTTGACAATATCTCGTACCAAAGTCATTTTATTCGCCGCAATAAGTTTCTCTGATCTACATGCATGTATTTCACACCTTAAGGCAACAAAAAAAGGAAGTTTTTCTGGTAGAATATTACGAAACTCGCGATGAGATCAAGCGCTATGAGTAAATGGGTCATGACTAGACAAGAGGTGAAAGATCTTCAGGTGTCCATGTTATAGAAATTTCCCATCATTTCAATCAAATCCTATCCTTGGCTGGCAGGACAACTGGTAAAAAGGTAAGTTAGAACAGAGTCGAAAAGGTATCCCTTGTGATTGTTTTTAGATGGTAAAAAATCGTCCTTATCTTACGAGGGTAGAACTTGATAGCCAGTGGCTAAAAAGACTGTGACCCTTGTTCCACGATTGAATTGGGATTTAGAAGTTAATGTTTACAACTTCTGACTCACAGATCGAATTGGAATATTAGCATCGGTTACGAGTTTTTGCGAAGGAGGGACTTAAAACCATAGAACTTGCATAGAAAAGCCCTCGAAGCACAGCAGTAGAGAACCAACAAACGGCCGTCTCAGAAATATCGTTGGGTGTGAAGGGCCGTAGCTACCAGTACGGTTGGTCCGGTTTTAAACCTACCACTTTTTACTTTAAGAACAATTTTCCCCCTCGTAAAAGTATTTTTTACACAGTAAATCAGTAAAAAAATTCCTACGACCTTAGTTTGAAAATTGAACTCTCGGCCACAACACTGGGGGCGGCGTAATATATAGCAACTGTCATCGATATGTATGGCGGCCAGTGCTGATAAGAAGATAAAAAATGCCGTAAAAACAATTCAGTGATTTCTGTGCTGTTGGCTTGAAAAAGGTGTTGATACTGATTAAAATACCCAATTTGAGAACGGACTTCGTCGAATCTTTTCGCGCATGCTCTTAGCAGTTTATTTTCTGGCCGGAACTGCTAGGGTATGCAGTCGAAGTGTTTTACGTGGTGCACGTTGACAACGAATGTCTTTTTTGCTATTTTTAAGACCGATAAAAACAACATGTAAAGTGCTTACCATTTAAACCAATCAATCCGCCGGTTGGAAATTTATTCGCTAATGGTAAGAAAAGAGCGGGAAACTTTGACTTCGGACAAATCTAGTGGTGCACGCGTCTACAGGAAGAACCAAAAACAGCGGGAAAATTGATTACCTCAATCGGAAGACCGAGTTTTCCTGAACTTTCCGATCGGAATAACACATACCATTTGTTTTCCGATCGGAAATTCCGGTTTTTCCAGGTAAATGGTAAGCACCCTTAGTCTGTAGTCGCCGAATCTTATATCGGGTTAATTTATTCTACTCAGGTGTTCAGCATTAGAGTAACATGGACGCTGTACGCCATCAGTTCTTGGTGCTGGTACTGTTTGCAATCATGAGTCAATATTGTAAGTGAACCGCATTTGGTATCTAATGTTTTTATGGACGAAACTGTAGTTTTTAAAAATTATTAAAGTTTTCTCAGAAAAATAAATTCAATTTTTCCTGTCGAATCGAAATATGGCGAATAATTGGAAAACTATATTGTTCTGCACTGACTAGCGACTGACTAGCCTCTCATACAAGTGAAAACGCTTTAATGTTTCCACGTGAACAAGACGTTAGTCAGAAATTGGTCGCCATATTTCGGGTGATTGATTTTCTCTGATTGGTCGATTCTATTTGACATGTTTGATACCTTTCATTAAAACAGGTCTCTGATTGGTCGATTCTATTTTACATATATTTTACGATTCTATCTTACATATATTTTACGATTCTATTTTACATATATTTTACGATTCTATTTTCACATAGCTGTCATGAATCACGTGTTTTCATGAAGGTGAAACTTAATTCGTGTAAATCTATTACAAGGTATTACTTGATTCATTTATCATGTCATTAGGAGATAACCAATAACCAGGAGTTACTATAAAAGTGGCTAATATAAAAGTGTCTAATTGTTCTTGTGTTTTAACAGGTTTGATAAAGGCAGACCCCGCTCCAATCCCATACAACTCTCCACCTCCTTCATCCAACACTACACATGCCAACACAACCGAAGTTTCATCGCACCACAATTCAACAACTCCAACTTCCAACACTACACATGTCAACGAAACCGAATCATCGCACCACAACAATTCAGTGCACGCTGCCCTACCAGAAGCGCTTGAATGTAAGTATTTTATGTGATTTTTCATTATAAGAACACTCTTAGCTATAGATGTTATATTATATATAAGTAGTGAACGCTAAAAAAGAGTGTGAAACAAAGACTAAACAAACAGTTAAAGATATAGCTATTTCAAAAAATATGTACTATGGTCAATGTGAATGTAATCACAACAATATGGAATTTTCCCAAAATTTGTCTATATTATTCACGGCGTATGATCCAATCATTTCAAGCTTGCTTATACAACATGATATGCAATGGCGACAAAACCTCTACCAAACTTTCTTGAAAAGAGCTGTATTTTACTTAAACTCGAAACTCCACTCTATGCTCGTAGGTCAACATTTTTTGGTGTCTGTCGTACTCAAGAAAAGTCCTCCTGGCCCTGCAGAAAGTGGACCCTTTGACGAAATGAAATGTCATATTTGTGATAATGTAAGTCATTGTTAGTTTAATCAAGGATGGTGTAGCGGTAGTGCACTCCCTTCTGGGGTATAGGGTTTGATTTTGGGGCGCAGTATCTCCATCTATGAGCATGGACCAGACGTATATAGTTAAATTAAATAATGCATTACATATTCTTGCTTTGCTAGATCAAGATGATTTACAGATGTTATCCTTGCTTTACTTCAGTAGAAGTTCACAATGTCACGTAAGTCCACAATGTCACGTAAGTCCGCAATGTCACGT